AAATATGTGAGTTTATGAGAAAACAGCAGAGTAATGGTTTTGCCAGGAAATTTTTCTGCATTGATCGCAGCAGTATTACTAATCCTGAATCAACCTAAATGTACAGAACTGAGTAAGTATTAGAGATGTCCAATAAGATTTGATGAATGCACTATTCCATTAATTTTACCTTTTTTGTTGAATAAATTATTTGACAAATAATGGTAAAATTCATCAAATAAATTATCTGATGAATGTATTTTTTAAGTAATCGACTAGCTCTAATGAATATGCAGGCAGTTCCTTAATGAAAAGCATTACTCTACTCTTAGCCTGCTTTCATCACTCATATGTCACTTTTTTGTATTTTGCAACTGCAATCTGTATATTTTATTCATTTACCCATTCATTTATACATGGGAAGTTTAAAACAGAATGGTTAATCAATCATTGCAATTCTTAGAATATTTTTGCTTTACAGTTGATTATTCATTACATTTATTACATACAGGAATGCTTAATAAAAAGAACGTGGCTTTTCTGAAGACATCTCTCCCAAGAACTATTGGCTTGTAGGTTCCAAGTCAAGTTTACAAGAATGCCCTAAAAATTACAGGATCCATTTATAAGACATTTTTGTAGCTGCAAACACTGCAATTACTAGTTGTTTCAAGAAACTGGAGCTTGAAGCCAAGCCAGCCACCTTCAAGGTCCCTGAAAACACACATAAGAGGACTAAACCTAATAAGAGCATACAGGAGCCACCTCCTCGCTGCACAGCACTAGGATGTTTAGGTAAAAGGCACAGAGAGGATTATTTGAATGATATTCAATTTTGGAAATATTCTGACCTCAAAGAGCATGTCTGGATTTTGTTATTACAGAGGTGATCTCAACAAATGATACTGATAGATTTTTACCATTAAATGGCAAATTGCACCTGTTAATGTTACATGTCACACTTCTGAGTCCCTGTTCTTACAGAGGTATGCCAATTTATTATGGCAGTGACAATGGGTACAAGTCCAACTTGCATGAATCAAGTCAACGTTGTCAAAGTCATATTCATGTTATCATGGGTGGCTCTGAACTTGCTCCACAAAGCTCAACTGAACATATTTAACAGGAGAAATTTTCGGGAGAGAGGTATATTAGAAAGGTTGCCTATAGCTGCACTTGGATTATCAGTGATTCTCTTCTAAATTTTCCTTTTAATAGCTTGCAGACTTTCATGAATGCAGCATTAATAGTCTTTGCCCAACCCTTCCAAACAATATAATTTCTACTGCCAGCTAGTCAACTAATATATAAAGCTGTCCCTCACAATAGGTACAAGTGGAGGGATTTATCATCTTTCCACAGAATCGAAAAGATAGTTTCCAAAAATGCCAGTATTTAGAATACATTCCTTATAGAGAGATAAAACCCAGAGTGGCTCCCACTCAACACAGAGCAAGCTGTCATGTCAGAGGTGTGGAAAGCCGTATAGAAGTCCTGCACAATGGGAAGGAGTTTGTTATTGGCTGACCTTTCATGCTCATCAAAACTGCAGCCACATTGCCCTGCAGACAAATAGGTATTGAAGATGGTTACTGTAAGTTTATTACAAAAGAAAAAAACATGTTCTATGGATTTTTTTTCATACCTTTTATCTCGGAAACTTATATTTGCATTTGCCTCAATCAGCCATGGGTTATGGTGTGTGTGAATGTTTGTCCATTAAAACTTGTGACAAACAACTCACTTGTCTATTAAAAATTTTAAATACTTGTTATAAATAATTTCTTCATGCTTATATGCTTTGATCTAATCTAATGCACCATTTTAGCTAAAATGCTTGTGGTTCTAAAGATTACAAGTATTAGGAGGAATAAATAAGTTCTAGAAATTATCTTCAGCTTGCAGCTTGTTTTACAAAGATTCAAAATGCCCTTCCTTTGCTAACTGCATCTAAGGAGCTCCTGACCCACTCCTTTTCATGTAAAGTCACCAATCTAATAATAGTAATATTTAGATGGGATATGGCCATATCTTTCACTTAAGAATTCTAATAAAACATTAGTATTAATAAACAAATATTTTCTGTTTCTGCTTAGGCAACGAAGAAAACTTAGTTTGTACTCCTGATAAACACTTGAGCTTCCCATGGTTCACTATTACTGTAGTTTGAATGTCCAGCGATGTGTTTGAAATAATGTACCCTGAGACAGAAAAGCCACTGGTACCGAACTATTCCTGTTCTATGTCATTCACATATTGTCTCAAAGCCATATTACAGTATAATCTAAAGCACAAATCTCCTGTGTCCCCACTCTCAGAAAGTGAAAGCACCATTTGTGTACATGGGCATTTGTCCTGACAATTGTAATGTCTCTGTGCAAGAATCATATTTATGGTGAGTGGCTTTTTGGAGATTTGGCATGCAAACTCTCCAGGCTATCTTGGAAAGCCTGCAAACCCAAAATTAGTAGATGAAGCTCAGGATTAAAGGTAAGCTTGAAGCTGCCAGATTTCGCAACTTTCTATATGAGGATTGCAGTAACCTATCTGGTTATCCCAGAACAAAAATAACATTTCCTTTTCAGAGTCCTTAATTACCTCCTTTCCCACTCCCCCCCCCCCCCCCCCTCCTTAATTAGCTGTGGGCAGAATGGAAATCTTGGAAGAAGATCGGCTTCTGTAATTAAAAAGACTTCCTGAGTGACACTACTTTGGAAAAGGTTTAATATTATTGTGGTACCCATGCAGTATGACTAACAGGAAGACTGGACAATGGAAACCGAATTACTGCCACCAACATGCCTCCCACAGAGCAGACATCTAACACCAACTTCATCTCTGACATGTGCCTGTTTTCCTAAGTTTTTCCGTATTTTCCTTAGACACTAACCTGGATAGAGTGTAAGCCAATTACCTAGCTCCCTGCTCTCTTTGAGAACACCCTTCTTGCAGTTCAGGCTTCAATTTGTTATGACCCCATCAAAATAAGCTGTCCAAATGCTTAAAAAAAAATAAAAATCACACAGCAGACAATGCAGCTTGCTGAAAGTGGGTTGCCTTTCCTCCCAGGTCTAGTAACATGATTATGAAGAGACAATAACAAAGGTATTCGAATACTGTGAAAACAAGTTATCACAAAACCATTCCATAACATAGATAAAAACCAAGACAACCACCAGGCCATTTGCTGTCCAGCTACAGATACTTTGTGTGGCTTGACTTAGGCAGAGGAGTGGGAGAAAGCGAAAGAAGCTGTCTGGCTTTTATTCTCACTCACAGGTAGACTGCACTGGCACATAGGGCCTGTATCAACCTCTACTACCCCCACTTTAAATTTGCTGGGAGCTGGGAGATCTGGAGTGCTGAAAGAGTAGCTACAGGCCTCAGAGCAAAATGAAGCTACAGGCTTCGTGCAAATCCATGCTTTGCAAGATTTGCCTCCGCGGCCATCTAGACTTATACAAAAGTCAGTGAAGACCTGCTCTGCCTCTGTACTGTGCTCTGAATTAAGCACAGCTCAGTTGGAGCTGAAAACGAGATTACAGATGCATAAATTTGGGGCATTTTCTATATTTTGATAATGCAGCTTTCCTGTGCTAACAGTGCAGTGATACATCACTGCCCATAAATCTTCACCTGAAGGCAGATGAGGAACAGGAATGATAGCAATAACAAAAAAATCTTATCCTTCCTGCCTTCATGGAAGAATGAGATAAGGTCCAGAGTGGAAATAGGAAATTGACAACTTAAACCTAAGAATTGTAAGAATTTCCTAGTAAAGGATGGTCTCTCCCCATGAATTTGTTTTACGGTAGTAACCTGTTGTTCATCAGGGCTGTCTGGCAGCAGAAGCACTGATCCAAGGGAGGTTACAGTGCTTTGGCTCTCTCAAAGTCTGCCGTGCTCACCAGGAGGGTGAGATCAGGAGGAATCATGCTGCAGTTGCATCTGGCAGGTTGCTCCCAGCCCATCCCCAAACTACAGTAGGAATGGGGTGGAATTTGATCAGAATTATACCTGATACTTTATTCAGCTTTGAAATTGCAAACACTTTGAAATAAAACTGTTTTACTATTGTCTTGTGTGCATTAGGCACTGCCAGTTCTTTTTTACAAATCATCATTTTTATCACCAAATAAATAAATCAAATAAAACCCAGTGTACGGTTATAGCTGACTTGACCACAGATGCCACAAGTCCTCACCGTTGTACCTTCTCACTAAGTTAGCTCCAGCTATTGCCAGATCATTGTCAACTCAGTCATACACAATAATGCCCCATTACAGCTGGAATGGTTTGTTAAACTTTATAGCACTCAGAAATGCTCTTGAGACACCAAAACTGTCTTGTTTCAGAATTGAACACATAATACCTGCCAAATTTGCAGGTTTGAAGCCACTTCCAGTAAGAATTAAAAAGGCCCTTTTCACAGCTGAAATAGGGCTATCAATACTTGACTTGTCTGCCCATGTGAAATAGTGGGTTCTTTTCTCTGACGTCGCAATTTAGTTTAAAATAGCTTTGATGATGACAGGGTACATGCGAGTGATAAAGCCACAAAGATGACAGTCTAATCTTACAAAGATGACCGATCACTGATAAGAGATTAAGTCACACAACATTTGAAAAACCATCTTATCTGTCTGCTAGGATAGTGTCTGTGTACACCTCCTGCTGAGCCATGCTGAGATGCCAATGACATACAGAGATGCTACCTCTTAAAAAAGAGAAATGCTTCACAGAATTTCTGAAACCATCAGGATAGAAGAATGAAAGCAAGCAAGAAAAGAATCTGTGATCTTATATTGAGCTTTTTTTGGTCAAATATTAATTTTTCAGGCTAGTAGAGTATTTAGACATACAGCATATAAATAATATAGAGACGCTATAAAAAGGTCTAAATTAGCCAATTCTGCCCTATAATTAGCATTCACAGCTATGCTGGCAATGGGTGGGTGATTATTAAACACCTTTTATTATCGGCTTTACGTACTACAATAAAAAATGAAAATTATACTTACAAGAATTATTAGACATGCTGGTCCTATAAAACTCCATATAAAGTTGTTCTTCGTGCTGAGCCAACATCTGAAAAGTAAACAGCAGGAAATGCCTTGAAATGTGCTACTGTGACTGTTGCATCCTTATGTATGTTGATTTAGACACAGAAACAGTGACTTACACTTCTGTGGTGCCATAGTACTTGTACCCTAGTGCGGCAGAGATTCCAACGACCACAGCTGGGCTGACGTAGCCAAAGACATAGAAATTCTTATGCAAGAAACCCTTGTTGTAGATGACTCCCACTACTATAAGGTAGAGGTGAATACCTTCAATGCACATCCATGCAAAAGCAGCTAGAAGGAAATAATGGAGCAATCCGGCAGTAATTGAGCAGAAGAGCTAGAAATTCAATAAGAGAAAGCAAGAGTCATAATTCTATTAATATGTCTGTTAATATAACAGCATATGCACAGCAACCTAGTGAACTCTAAAGTGGTGGTCCAGCAGCCCACGTATAATACTGATTGACAGGAGCTTGGCCTGCACCCATGAGCTCACTTGTTCATTAATGTTTTCTGTAGCAACTGGTAAGGTAAAAAGACTATATTCAAATTCTAGTGCGCTTCTTCCCAGAAAAACTATATGAACAACTTGACAAGTTTGATCCCATAGTTACATTGGAGCAGTCTGTATGATTTCCTGATCTAGATGAAGCTCATTTTTACAGTTTTGATAACAGTGTAATTAGGCATCACAAGGAATTATTTTCAAAATTACTTTTGTTACTACAAAATGTTTGTAAAATGACATTTCTTGATCAGTTGGTACTGGAATGTCTTCTCATGGATAGCAGTTCTTATTTTTTCATGTTATTTTAAATTCTATTTGACTACTTAACAGTAAGATTATTTTGATAATTTATGCATAATTTAATTTCCTAACACTATTCTGAGATGCAAAAATCAACAGCCCATCTTGTATGAAAAGCAACAGGGACAAGTCAAGACCTCACATGCATAAAGAAAATGGGTCCTCCAGCCAACACTAGCTTGGTACTACAGATCTGGCCTGGCTTTTAGAGAAAATTGTCACCCAGAAAGCTACCAACATGGGTTGTACAGCATCCAAATAGATGAGAAAAGTGAAAATGATAATCATACTGAGACCGCAGTCTTTGATAGGATGACAAAGCTTAAATGAAAGCCATAGAGCAATGTCATTACACACCCGTTCAATGAAGACCTTACTTCTTTAAATGACCGTTTTGTATTTTCTGTTACTAGATTGGGAAACCAGTGTCACTGGAATATTCATACTGATACTAGGAAATATTGGAAGTAGATGGAAAATTGTGTCTTATACAGTACATTTACTTTACAACACAAAATCAAGATATGAGTGAAAACTACCCACCTTATTATTGTTCATATTAATTCCAATCAGAAAAATAAGTTCCGCCAGGAAAAGGCTGCAGCAGAGGTTTTTGTGAATTGTCGTTCTAGTGCTTTGAATTTCACTGAAGAACCAGAATGTAAAAATGCACATGGAGAGGCAAATCAACGAAATAATTATTCCTAGCTGAGTGATTCTTGTAAGAATGTTATAATTTGTAACACCCTGGGGGAAAATTATAATATAATATTTAAAAGAACAGCTTTGTACCTTCTCAAGAAAGACCTCATTCTATTACACATTTTTTTCATCTTTTCTACAAAGTATTAATCAAAACTGTTTGTAGAGTTTCACTGCAAACTTACACTTTGGATAGTATAAAAAGTATTTTTTTTTTTTTTGTAAGACGTCATTCTAGGGGAAGTTAGTAATGAACTGCATATATTTCTGCTCTTGCATTTTCTGATAATTCTTAACAAAACTTTTTTATTAACATCAGTATCTCCTAATACGATTTAAAAAATCAGATCATTTTAGTGAATAACAAATACACTGGCAGTAGGACATATATTAATATGACATGAACATTTTCTAATATAAAAGGACTTATCACAGCAGTGACTTAGATAAGCAAAACTGAATAACCTTCTTACTGCATTTGCAACATGATCAAAACAAGACTCTGAAATAACAATCACTTCAAAAAAATGCTATCCCAGATACATAACATGAACATTCTCCAAAGAAACACAGGCTATTTTAATATTAGATGTGAATATTTTCTGTACAGGAATACAGTTCAATTGCTGCTTGGTATTTGAACAAAGAATCTCTTGAAGTACATGACTGTGCATCAGCATAAGGGTAGTACTCAGCTGACCATAAAATGTATCTAAGTAATTTTTTTTCTAAATAAAGAACCAGAGATTATTCGCTTCCCAGCCTTCTTTTTCAAAATAACCGTATAAGTACCTGCAAAGGTTTTAAATTTAAACTGAAGACTTAGGATGCTATTTAGCAACCAGGAAACAGCCTCTATCAGCATGAAATTCACAGTGTGAGAGAACTGTCTCGATACAGTATATTCATGCTAATATTCTGCTTGCTGTCAGTTCTGATACCATGTAAAGCTGCCTCCTGAGGCAGGACCTGAGCTCCCACAGATCCCCACACAGGCCCTGGAAATCTATTGGGACTCTTAATGTAACAAAGAGAGAAACTGAGTGGTCATTCTCATGATTTTGTACTTGTCATGAGTGCCCATGTTTAATAGTCATAAAATTCACACTGATTTATGCTGTTGAAAATTCTCAGGAAAGAATTTAAAGCAGATTTTTAGATGCCAAGGTTAGACAAATGGGTGGCAAAGTTTTGTGAGAGAGAAATTCAGGGCCATATGGTTACTGACCACCAGTGAATGCCAGTTAAATCCCACAGCAGTCTTAAAATGGGATTTAAAATTAAAAGCAATGCACCAAAAATAAGCACAACAGACTGTGTATTTGGAACAAGATACTTTGCTGCATCACTGCTCTGTAATACTGCAGAAAGGACAAAAGGAAAATCAAACACATATGGGAGGAATTTTGTTTGCTCTGTGCACAATAAATTGTGTGTTTGCTGAACAAAATCGAGACGACCTAAAAGGGGAAAAGCACATAAGTTGCACTGAAATAAAAACATAAGGAATAAAGATAAGAGAAAGTATGAGGTAAAACACTAAAATAGCACTTACAACAGAGCCACCTGAGGACATCAAAACAGCAAAATGAGTCAGATGATTACATTTGCATGAGATATGAGTGGAGTTGGAATGTGTCAGCTCACAGCCTTCGGTAGCCCAGTTGCCATTCATTGTGTCTGCAGAGTAGTTCCAAAATGCACATTTAATATCTTTATCCAGAGTCTGGAACAGAAACAAGATGTTTTACTGATGGCAAAAGGCAGGATATTCCCTATCAAGAGACCTTTCTTAGGTTAGCCAGTGCAATTCATTAGATACTGCTTGCACCTTTGGAAGGCTGGGAAACAAAAATGACATTCTGCAAGTCCTATTCCAAGCAATTAAAACATGGCTAGGGAGGGAAGCATGTTATCCACAAAGCTAACACCCTACCAAAAATGTAGTCTAGTCAGATTACTGAACCCTCTGGCATTTGCAAAGGTGTTGGAGTTTTTACCTATTGAAATCATTGTTACATACATACACCTGCACCTGCTGAACATGGACTAAATCCCAAGGTTACAGCCACATTGCTTGTCCTGCTCACAGTCCCTTCCAAATGAACAGTTTGAAAACTGAGGCTTATTCTGTGCATTTTAAAAAGTGATCTGAGATAAAGCCAGGGTCATATCATACCTGCTATATCAGGTGTGATGACAGCGCTGAATAAGACCATTAGTATTTTTTATTACGGTTAGTGCTTACTAACTCATCAAAGATAAGGTCCCTACTGTACTAATAGGCTGTATAAATATATGCAAATTTATATAGAAGACAAATAACAGATTTAAATGCTGCATAACCAAGGTTAACACCTTGTCCTACCGTCAACCTCCTTACACACTTTCTTTTAATGTTTCTGATAATTCTTTGTGCAATGCAAGGTGATTCTTCATGCACAAGTAAAATCAGTAAAATCTATACACACTATGGAACTAAAATTATTATTTTTAAACAAATGTGTTCAGATTTCAGAAGTTAACAAAGTTGAAATACTATAGGTTCTGGTATTTTCTCCTACCTCCAAGGTAACTTTTCACAGTAACTTTGAAGCATATCTTTGTATTTTTTAATATGCATGCTTAACCGTGTAATAAACTTTCAGAAACTCTACCTAAATACAGAATATTCAAGACCTTGTAATATTCTCTGTTTCAGACATCTAAATTTTATTCATACTATAACACAGCAAAGCTGGCATTGTTGCCCTTGCTTTAGTCCCATAGCTCTTTTCAGCTGTATCATATTTAGTTTATTGCACTTAGGATGTCACATTTGGGATTTATCTAATTAGAGAAATAAATGACAAACATCAGCAAACAACAGAATTATGTCTCAATATACCATACACTGGAGGTATGGTTACATCACATAAAATGATTAGCTATTATTTTGTTTTATTTGAAGTTGATAACAAAAAAGCCCCTTACCTTCTCATACTTTAAGGTAAATGTTATTTTCTCAAGCTCATAGAGTGTAGGTGGATTTGAGCTAATTGCCACAGCTATAACTGATGAGCTTACGGTCTGTCTCTGCTCTGAAGTATCTTTTGAGGAGAGGTTTTTAGGTGATGAAAGCAAAGAACCAATATTGCTATACCGCAGGAAGACAACTGCAACAGTGCCTGTCAATCAAATAGATCATGTTCAGTGGTTTGTGGGGTTCTTATTGAAGAACAATATTGAAGACATTAAGGAAACAATAAACAATAGACATTATTACTGATCTTGCATAAAATATGCAAAACAGATGGAATCTTTGTGGAATACTTATAAAAATGTTTTAGAGACAATGAAATATAGCTTTATTTAAAACAATGTAACTGCCATTAGAAATACCTATGTGTGCTCACACTTGGAATTCTAATTAGATATATACATGTATACTTATTTTCTAGAGTAACACGTGCTTGCTGCTGTTTTACAGTTGGCTACATATGTGGTATCAGGTCTCAAACTAAAATGTCTCAGACCTGAGGTAAATACTGGGCTTCTCTGAATTACCTGGTTTACTTTGACTTCCATTACAGTGGAGCCAGAATGGAAGGCACATAGGGAAAAAGAAAGCAAATAGGATTTTAGGATGCAGTGCTGATATGAAAAAAAAGAAGTCATGATTTTTCTCCCTGGTACCAAAGCAAATCACTTTTTTACGTACTGGCAGGTGGTGAGATTCAGATAAGCTGGAAGATTAGGATTTAAAAAATATTTTCTATGTTTATTAGGTCAGGTGGTTTAATTCCAGAACTGTTTAAACAAATTTGTTTATTTTCAGTGATGAGAGTAGTTGCAAACCATTTCTGTAGCAGTATGAAGTCCAATCCAATTTCCGTGCCTTACTGGCTTGGTACTGAAGAAAACGTGTTCTTGCCCTAGTGAACTATTCTTTAAATAGAAAAGATACACACATTTTTGGAGGAGAAGTAAGAACACTAGTTGATGGAGCCAGTCTGAACTCACAGCAGATCTATGGCTAAGAAAAGGATAAAGCTCAGTTCTCTGGTAACAATATCCAGTGTTAAAGCTCACTGTATACTGGAAATGTTAGAAATGCCAGTCTTGAGACCATAAAAGGGTAGGAGAGATGATGATAAAACCACCTTGACTCCTCTGTAGTTGGCAGGGCTGAAGCTCAGTCTTAGTAAACTGCATATTTGGTTATTTAGTAGTGGGTACAAGTCTAGCCAAGGTGTTTAATAACCCACCTACTCTCTAACCTTTGTTTCTTACCATTAGGATGGGATTCCTCTCTCTTCTTTGGAGAGATCTTTATATAATCTCCCCCCGTGTATACATGAGGGTGAATGTGTTTCATGTGATGTGAATCAAAAGCAAAAACCTTGAGTACTGCAAAAGAAGAAAAATACTGTACAACTCAGAGATCCATTACAGTGTACCATAATTTACAGTTGGGTTAATAAATGTGCTATTTTGATGTTCATGTTACCATGAATTTTAAGAGTATATCATTGTACCAAATATTTCAAGAAAAATGCTATTAATATTTTTGCTTAAACCCCTATGTTTTATTATTTTCCTGCATACATTTTGCTCTCATATTTTTTACTCTTTCCATAAAAAATATTGTCTTTTATTCACCTTGCATTAAATTAGGAACTGGAAAGAACAATGTAGGTTACTCTAAGAAGAGCTATTGCTTTATTAAAAATGCATTTCTAAAAGGGACCACAAATCACAATTATAAAAAGCAAAGCATAAAATTCTCTGCTGAATAGTAACATTTGACAAAAGCCAGTTTTTGAAAAGTATATATTTTATAGTTATCTATCCATGCTATGAAACACACATTGCACCATGAAATAATGATGTGTCTTGTCAAAAAGCAAGCAAACAAGCATCACCCCTCAGGACACAAACTACATTAGAGGACACTGAGCTCTTTACTTGGGTCATTATAGTGCTGAGTTTCAATCACCCAGGAAGGGAATAAAAAAAGTCAATCGGGCCTTTTTTAAAAAACAAAACAGCAAACAAATCTAAAACTTGACTGATGGAGGAATATTACTAAGCTATACCATCTGCATTGCTTATAGCACAACACAAAAATAATATGAGCTATTCAATAGACCAGCTGTCAGAAAATGTTCGTCAGGATGTAAGAAATAGTTTTCTGTAGCTGGAGTTTTGAAAAGCTTGGAGTTCAAGAGCTTGCACCATGAAAAACAGCGGAGAGAGATGGGTAATATTGTAGGTCTTGTCCCAGAATAGATGTGTGGGGCACATTTAAGTCCTGTGGAAAATGCATTGATGCTGAAAAACCATAACAAAAGATTGCAGTGTTTGGGTCCAATTTGGGAAAGAGCTCATCTAGTTTCTCTTTTCAGAACAAGAGCAAGGCAAAAAAATCATCCACGCTTCAACATGGAAATTCCTCACCATTCTCTTGATAAGCTTTTTTCCCACCTTGGTCTGACTGACATCTACACTGCTACTGAAGGCCGCACATGAATCCTCTCTTCAAGACCTTCATGGCCTCAGCTCTGTAGCCAGGAGACCCTCTCCTTTCTGCCAGGGTGGTGGGGGAGCCGGGGCTTTACAGCCAGCTAATGGCATCGCTTTGTATCTGCTGCAGGCCCAGATGTGCTCTGGACTGACATAAATCTGCTTCTACAGAGTTTATGTAATGGAACAAAAGCTCTCATTTTTCATCACTCTTGATAATTTACTTTCAGAAAAGTGAAAGAACAGGTGGTTTGACCTGCCTCGGATCAAAGGAAGAATCTGTTTTATCATGTCATCTTACAAATTGGCAAACTGGTAAGAGGTACTGAAGGACTGTACTGAATCTAAAATAAGAAATCAGGTCACATGGAGTTTGGGTACATTCAGAGAAATGAAGATGTGACCATTGCCATAAGTCATAAACAATGCTTTATCAGGATTTTCAAAAGCAGCTGGTATTAACCTTACTCTGCTCCCATTGAAGGAATGATAGAACTATTATTAATACAGCAAAATCATCAGGAGTTGTTGTGTGAAGGCACCATCACACATTGAGAAAGGTAGGAAAGCAAAACGTGCAGTTTAGCCTAACTGGCTCTCCTCAGATATTCCTCTTAAAATGGAAATTCCTCTGAAAATAAAGCCACTCCAGATCGGACTCACCAGCTACAATCCTTATTCCATGATCATTTACAATACCTTCCAAAAAGAGGAAAAATCTGTATAGGGCAAATCTAAGTTTCATTCCAGTGGTAGGGTTTTATTTAGTGCATATTAGATGCATAGGATAATTTTGTACATGTAAGATGAATGCAGATTCACTGTTAGGGTGTGACTATAATGAGATATTGAAAGAGAATCTGAAAGGACAACTTCCCACAGCTTCTCAAGTTTTTTTCTGGGCTGTAGGCTCACATGTTCAATCATTGAAAATTATGATACCTACACTGAAAGTCAGGTGTTAGTTATGAAACTCATACAAATTAACACCTGTGTGTTTCACATAACACCATTTCTAATCTTCATAATCGTGCTGAAAAACTCCTCAGTGTAATCCACACCTAAAGTATATCTTAGATTAATTTTCTTTATCTTACCTATGTCACTTGCATTAGCATCTAGCTGTGTTGTCTTTTTGAAGTTCTGTGACATGAGAAGCGTTGCTTGTTCTGCAGTATGCAGCAGCTTAGTCAGGCTCCGTCTTTGGTCATCTACAGGAAGAGCTTCCCAGACTGTAATCTTGTCTTTTTGTAAAAAATTGTTCACAGTACTAACCAAAACCTACACAGAAAATTATATGTTTAAGTGCAGGAGTCATATGCTATTTGTAAAATAAGGCACACATCCCCCTCATCCAATTTTAAGGCTTGATCTACTCACATTAATGGTTGTATCACGAAGTGTTTCATTGTCAGAAACAGAGTAATGCCTGGTATTTAATGATGAATAAGACAGTGCTTCAACATATGAAATTACATCTACAGGTAAAAGCGGTCCCAAAGTATTTTTATTAATTTCTTGCAGCATCTCCAGGGGTGTTTTCAAATGACTAATCTGAAAAAAACAAGAACTCGCATCTTAATGAAACAAGTGAAGTCACATTTCTGCAAGTGAAAGAAAACCCAATGCAAATGGCTGATTTCTGTGAATTAACATACTGGCTTTTAAGATGCTTGTGCATAAAAACAGGCACTATTTAAATCAATAGGTTATACGTGTCTGCTATAATCTTAATAAACAGCTATTATAAAAATAAGCCATATGTTATCATTAAACTTTTTTTTTTTTCTGACTACTGCAACTCATTTTTATTTACCCTAATTCTAAAAAATTAACTGGTAAATGTTCTGCAAAAATCATTAAATATCAGTGATTTGATTATTCCATTGACTCTCTTCTGTTAAATTTTTAGTTGAAAAGGTGGGAGCAGAGAAATAGTATATTTGGTACGGTTTCTTTTTTTTTTAATGTAGATCATAAAGCATGTAGTTAAATCAAACTGTACTGCCTATTTCACCATCAATGCTTCAGTTTATGAACTGCTTAATGCACTTATATAAAACAATTGGTTTAAAAAGCAACAGTCTGAAGAAGGTGAGATGATTAAACTTGCAAATTTCCATTTCACGGCTGAATAAGAAAAGAATTCTTATTTCGTGATACTGAAATTTAATGAGATTAAGATTCCTCCTCCCCTCCTCCCCCGAAAAGAAAAACATCAAAGAAACCCCGAACCCAACACCTGATTTTGTAAGATCTGTAGACTCTGCTGCTGAACAGCTTTTATAGGGATTGCTTTGTCTTTGACTGCAGCTGAATCAAACTATAACACAGGCTAAAAAACTAGGCTAAGTGACACAGGTTTTTAATGCAAAATTGAGGTACTTTAACTTATTGCTTTAATTTGACTATGTATTTTAAAAACAAAAAATAAAACCCCCAAATCCTAAATCCTGCTGTGGCATTTACCATGCCTTCATATGTAAATGGGGTAAGCATATGTTACATTTAATATAATACATTACATTACGGGTTAACACAGAAAGCATGTTAACACAATGACCATCTCACACTAGGTTAATAAAAGCCTTTCAATGAATATCTTTCTGAATTTTGTAACTTTGGCAAACTGCTTAATATAACACCCCAACATATACAATTTGATTTAATTCATTTATGCTTATGTTTCATTTATCTTTTTAAATTAGACAATACTATAAATGTAGACTAATGAACAGTGATTCCATTAATGTTTTGGTTGTTTTGGTTTTTTTTTAATTTGCTTCAGTAATCTCTGGTTTTGGTGAAAAAGAAATCCTGAGTCCAGAGTCTCTGAGTCTATAAATTCTGCACCACTTTACATACTATGCTTTGGCAGTAAATATATTAGCATACCAGGTTGTTATTGCTCCATTTTCTATTTTGTCACTTGTTGACATACTTTTGTAAGCTATCTTGCTGCCTTTCACTCTGAACAAGCAAATAATTGCACATCAGTAAATGCTGCAGTGTGTAACTTCAGAAATTACAGAAACAGTTGAGTGATCATCACACTTCTGAATTTTTCATGCATCATGACTCACTTTGCTGGAAACAGAACACACAGATTCCCAGCAAGTTATTATCATGATTTGAACATACAACCCAGTTCAAATAATTTGAAACTATTAAAAAGACTTCTGTAAACATACTTAAGTTCAATTGTATGCTTCAAACACTTGTTAAAAGCTCCTTAAGAACTACTATAATTGAAATAACAGTTTCAAACAGAAACAATTAAAGGATTTAGAAATTAATCTATAAACCAATGCTACTTACCCTAGCTAAAGTTCTGTTAATATGTTCAGTTATACAGTCTTTGTATAACTCACACTTGGCCTTCGGATTTTCTGTAGAAATTAAACAGAAACTAATTATATACTGGAGTTTAATCAATATTCAATGTATACTCATTTTAAGAGCTCTTGTCATTCCTCACACCACCAGCATTCTGAATTTATGCACATTAAGACACAGCACTTTGTTCTCAAACTGCAACTACTGGGACTTAATCTTGACCAAAGTTACATCACTGGACAGACTCTCAGCTTTTGTTTTACTCGGGTAGAGACTTAGGCCCCTTTCCTTGTTACTTCTACAGGTAAAGTTAAGAGACAGCTTGAATTTATGGAGAGAAGTAGAGATCTGACAACCACTATTTCAAATGGATTTAATCACACTGTTTAACAACAATACATTTACAAAATGATTCTATTCTCAGGAAATGTAGATGTCACTGCCTTGCCTCTTTTTCATGTATTGCTGATTAATCTAGCCGAAGATAAAGAGGCACTGGTGAGTTTCTCAGAAGATGTAGCTCTCTAATAACACATAAACCTTTATAATATCATGTACCTTGGCAGGAAGTGCCATCATTTGGCTTAAACTGCAATTTTCCCGTGGATGGTTGATAACCTTCCTTACAGGAGCAGTTAAACCCTCCATCCACGTTTTCACATTTTGCATGGTCTCCACAGGCAACAGTTCCTTCATTGCTGCACTCATCTACATCTGCAAATATCGTGAGAAATTGAATTTTTCATTAAGTATTTACAGACTAACACCTTGCTGCTTTGTTGATAATAGCCCTGCATGCTGCAAGCAGTTTCATAATAAAATTTCATGGAATAAAAAAAGCAAAAACTGAAAAGGCAAACTTAATGGCAAAATACCTGCCAATTATAATATTTAGGGATTAGAAGGATAAATCATAATTGATCATATTTTTATGCCACCACTTTTATTACTATATAATAGTGCATTGTTCACGTTTTAAAACCATGAATTTAAAACCATAAAACTTTTAAAACCATATTAATTCTATCATAACAAAATGCTCGGCATGATGCAAATCATCAGAAAACCATTTTCCAGAGATTAGACTAAATAGATTTTCTCAGCCTTATGATTCAGTTAGAAAAGATAAATAAAACTGCAGCCTTTTCTTTTAAGTCACAGCTTTAAAAAGATGCTACAAAAGATCACTTCATCCATTTTGTTAATCTAAGATTTAAGCTCTGTGCCCTTTAAAGTGCTTGGCATGTGGGATATTTTTTAATTCACATTTAAATTACATTTGCCTAAAATGTCTTCTGTGCTTCTAAATAATTTGCCATTACGTAGACAGGTTCAGTAACCGGGTGGGGGACAGTCCAATAGTAAAACTGATGAATTCCGGTAAGGGAATCCATGAATTGATCAATTTTGGAGAGCTGTGTACTAACTCTTTGGCTGAAGTGGGATTATTTTGCATTATTTGGTTGGCCAAGGATAATTATCAAATAACTCAATGGAGAAAGTAAACTGGGAGAAAACCACAAATATTTCTGATGAATGAAGTAATGGACTGTGAAGTGCTGTGCTGGAAAGGAGAAAAAAGTGAACAGCTTTTGAACAGGTATGAAAAGAGTTGAAAAATGAAGAAGTGATACATGAGCAAATTTAAAGGAACAGCCTGAGAACTGAACTGAAAGAAAATAAAGGTAGAGAAGGGAATGGATGATTCAGAGAGAACTGAAGAACTGGCATGACACTGAATTTGGGAAATAAATTTGTGAAAAAGTACTGATTAACCGATTAGTAGAGGAGAACAGCTACGTGAATTGATAGAAGACTTTTGTATAGCCAGATGGATGTTAAGGATGAACAGAAAGCAGATACAGAGGGCTGGAAATGCACTATTAGCATATAGGAACTATTTTTGCACTCTTATTTTTATACAAGACTGTTGGTGGTTTTAAAAAAGGAGTAGAACAAAATGAGCAACCATGTATGTGAAATAAGGTTGCTAGATAAACAGAAATGGTAGAAAAAACCAGAAAAACGTTCGTTAGCCAGCTCTCTTTCTTCTGCTGTAACCCCTGGGGTTCTAGTAGATGATTGAGATCCCACCCCATCCTCCTCACTGAGCAGTGAGTCTGATTTTCACTTGAAATGCTGCATTTTAAGCCTGAGGTTCAGACGGTGAAGGCACAGATGGGAAGGCGAGGTGGGGCTGTGGGTGTATTTGCCTTCCCCATCAAATCCACCTCAGCCTTTCACGGACAGCTGCTGTGGAGGCAGTGTGTTTGAATGGACTGGTGCAAGTACCGATATTTAAGGTATGAGGTTAAATTATATTTATCTGCATTAGGGCAATAGTTTTTTTTCCATATTTAACGCCCCAAACTGAAAATGTTTCTCTTTGATGAACTGAGTTTTACATTATCTGTATTCATATAGTTTCTATTACCTCAGTATTCATGCAGTCATGGAGCTAACCACATTATACGTCAGTGAATCTGACAAAAGTGATGAAGAGGGAGGGAAAAAACTTGATTTAGTGTTATATAGTCTACCTCATAATTAAATGCTGTCATATAAAGACATAAGGCTAAAGTTCTTACTCTTGGCATTTAAATAACCTCTCACATCAGTAAATTATAAAGCTCTTTTTGAAACAAGTGGGTGTCTGTCAGTGCCCTGTTGTGTGACTCTCTGTAAGACAGACAAACTTTGAATGAATTGAAGCAGCAAGGGTGAAAACCACGACAGTATCAGTTTGTATAGCAAGAACACACATCAGCCTTATACCAAAGATTTCTTTGGCCTTGTCAGCTACACAGAGAAGGCCATGTACATCTTAACAAGATATTCAGTGTGTACTGCAGTGCTAAAACACCAGCAAATGGCAACAGGCTGTGTTAAAACTGATAATGATTTATAAATAAATACATAAATAAATGCTTGAATACTTTCTAGACTATCACAGCTAAGTATTTAAGTTTCCATGTGATTTACTGGTGCAAATATTTCAAAATTATTGTGATATTTCACTTTTCATGAGTCTTTAGTAAATCATTTATTTGTCATTATTGGACAGTCATACAGATTACTCTTTCTCTTGTAATTATGTCAGATATTAAACATAATAGAGTTTTTAATGAAAAGTCAGCATCATTCAAAACAACAGCAGAAACTTAAGTACCACAGCACATTTCTGGCAACAGGATGGCCTGACAGAGACACGCTGTTCAGTGTACACAAATAGACTTTCTGCAGTTGAGCTGTACATATGGAATGATATGGAATGAGTCCATATCATGCCTATATAATTTACTGTTTCCTGGAGAAAAAAAATAAATCTCCTGGATGACAAAATTAAAAGGAAATATGCCTGATCTTGCAAGGTACTAATCAGCTTCACATCCCTTTTAAATCAATGAGACTGTCAGGGGCAGCCAACAATTTGTGACAGTTACAAAAATGCTGCTTTTAAGTTCCTCCTTTGAAATGCAGTAGCTGTAAGTTTTTGTTTCTTTATATTTTGTAGTTATGCCTTTTTAACCAAATATGCAATTGTTGGACCACACATGGGCAGCAGCTTGTCAGTGCTTTCAGCGATCCAATTTTGCTGGAGCTTTGGGGCAAGGATCTCAAACTGTCTTCCTTGATCTACTACAGCAGTGGGGCTGGGCTGCCAAGGCTTGACTGAGCAGTCTTCGCAGAAAGCTTTCCTGAGCAAAGGCTGAAGAACAGTAGCTTTTTAAACAGGAGAGCATTTGCCATAGCTCTGCAAGAAACCCTGGCCTTTTAGTAAATATTCAAAACAAATCCTGGAGCCAAACTTTGAAGCTTTTATAATAGCTCCAATCAGAAAAATAATATCACCAACACCACTTAGGCTAGTGTGAAAATAGATTTAGAACCTTCTATTTTATTTCTGTGCTTTGTCACTCCTCATTTACTGCAGCAGGCAAGGAAATTCCAATTAAATTAAAAGTACTGAGAATAGTTATTATGTTCAGTCTTGCCAATTACTGGATTGTACCTACATCGCTTTGATTCTTCACCAGTCAGTCAAGACAGCTTGATGTCTACGTTATACCTTCTGCTTATTAGTAGCTTGCAAGTGATTGAAAAGTCCAATTGCAAAGGACTAGATGTTCCCTCCCCATGCCTCCATACTGTGGAAGTCAGCAGCACACACAAAGCAGAAATGAAAAAGCCTACAAATAGCACAGGCAGAAGAAAAGTTAGCCACATAGCATATCCCATCCACTGTATAACTCTCCTGACACAGAAAAGGATGTGATGGAGAAAGGGTGCCTTCCCAGTGTTCTCAAAATACCTGAGTAAAACTAATAACATGTTCCTGGAAAAGGCAGAGTAGCACAGATGTCACTTTCATTTTGCAGATAGCCATTTTAATGTTTTTATTGTGTTGACCAGGGTAAAAAAAGTAGGTTTATATTTCACGTTTTCAGCTGCAGCTGAACATTCAATAAAATGTGAAGTCTAAGGAAAAAGCAGGGCTTTTATACTGTAAATAGATTTTAATAACTCATATGCCAGAGAGCAGAAAAATATAATCTTCAGAAACTTTACATCTCTGCATTCCTCTTTTTTTCTTCTTCATTTCCTTTCTCCTTCTCTTTTCTTCTCTCTCTCTTACTACCCTCCAATTCCTCCTCTATCTTCATGTTTCATTGCCATCTCCTCACCAATTCTACCTGCCTAACATAGATGAAATACTGCTGACCCCCAACAGAAGGATTGGGTTAAGGGTGAACTGACATTTCCCAAATCCACTATACCAAGTCTTCTTCTGGTCCACTATCCTGAGAGTTATAATCACTTTGTATTTGGTTTAGTATAGTATCCAAAGAGGGGAGAAACACACATATGTATGCATCTGGACTTTGAAGTGACCTCACACACACAGAGTGATGTACCACACTTGCACCACTGGGAATCCAGATAGGGTTGATGGCATAAACACATAAACATAATGGCATACTCTCCAAAATTCAACTACTGCGTTTTCAAAGGTGCTGCCATATGTGTTATACATATACATTAAAAAGAAAGCTTAAGACTTTGCAGAATTTGAAAATATTTTGGTGCCTATAAACTTAGTAAGATGGATACTTGGTAGCTCTGTCCTCCAAATTGTGTTGGATAATTTGCACTGTATTTACAATCACAACTTCAGTGTTTGCTTTATGGGTGTGTAGTACATCCTGAATACACTGCTGACAGCTGCTTGTGAGCAAGTCATATCTGCCATCACCAGCAGCAGATCCACTGGGTACAAAATATCCTATTATGGTTTCCTTGACTGATAAAGTAGAAAATTAATTGTGCATCAAAAGGCTGTCTTTAGGACTCACTACTTGCTAAAGTAATTGGTACACTTGTATAATGAGAAAAGGTGCCCAAGGTAATTTTTTTATTTCAGTGTGAGTTTTGGAAGCTCTCACCTCTTCCCATATGAATTTACAAAAAGGAGAAGAAAAGTGGTAAACTAACCCCCAGCAGAGGATAAAAAAAGATCAGTCCGCCCAGTAAGGAGGGCAATAGAAAAAAAAGGCAAGTTAATGCTGAAAAGCTAAAGTGACACAAGAACAGTCAGAGAAATAACTTTGAAGACAAAACTTCTGAAGCTGAGAAAATGTCATAACATAAAAATCAAAGCCTGGACCAGAAACAGCAAGAATATTTACAGCTTAATGTGCTAACAGTCTCAATCCCAGCTAATTTAAGAACGATTCATAGCAGCTGGGTAAAGCGGAGCTATTTTAGGTGGCTGTGAGCAATGGGCAAGAAATGTTGATTAGATCACTTTCTGGCTTAATATGCAGTCGTTCTGCTGATATTAAGAGCAGTAAGAAGAGAGGTTGTCAGCACTCACAAGCTCACAGGAGATGTATACAAGGTGTAAAGGGCAATAGATTTATTTCTCATTTTCTGATTCCCTGAGGACTGTTGCAACATATAGAGAAAATTACCAGGAGTTTGAAAGAAGAGAAATAGTTATAGTTCTTCCATCCAAAGGAAATCCTAAAGGATAGCATAGCTGTTCAGAAATAACATTTTTCCAGAGAACTTTTCCTCCCCTGTAATCTTGAACGGCTTCCACCCAACTGCTATAGAAACAGAGGCTGATGGATGGCACAGGAGGTAGATTAACTACTGATCTTGCTCACTGCTTTTGATCAGACTTGAAAAATTACCAAAAATATCTCAACCAAAGCCCTCAGACAAAAAAAAACATAGTTTTGGAGCTTAGTAGGTTACTTGTATAGGGAATTTTGTTGGTCCAGAGCTACCTAAATGCAGAATACTTTGTCACTGCTTTGTTTTAAGAATATGACCACTTTTCTCACAAATCAGTGAAACAGTGGCATAAATAGCTAGATTGGGGATTTCTGTGTTACCTTAACTTCATTGTCTAAAACTGTGGCATAAACATATTGCAAGCAGAATCAAGATTGAAATGTTACTGAAAGCAGTGGCAGCTGCTGTGTTACCAGTGAGAACTGTGGGGCCCCACTGAAACATTAAGTCTGTAACAGTCCAAGTTGAGGGAATTTTATATTCAGACTCCAAACTTCGCAAATCTAAAAGCATTTTGCTAGATTTCTGTAATTAAAAGAAGCAACAAGAGTGACAATGTAAAGCAAGCTGGCAGACGTTAATAACTTACCCACACAGGAGGTTCCATCATTAGGTACAAAAGTTTGTTGACCATTGCTGGATTTGAAACCAGGCATACACATGCAGAAATAACTTCCCACTGTGTTTGTGCAATTGGCATGCTCTCCACAAGGCTGAGTAGCATTTTCACATTCATTATCATCTGTCAAGACATAAATTATGGAGAAATATATTTGCATTTGACGATTGAAGAAAACAGTAAAGAGTAAGCTTAATGTGGACTCTGGTATTTTATTTATAGAAGTTATTAATGCTGAACTGGCACTCTTGGTGCCTGTCTATACAGTTTTCCCATTGGCAAGGATGTAATCAGGTGTTCAGCAAAACTCTTCTGCCCTCATTCTGCGTGAGTCAACAGATGAGAAAACCAGCAGGATACTGAAGTGAATGGTTTAATTGGATATTCACTTGGAATAAAGGACTGAGACAAGTATATGTTTTGCCATGGTTGTATTTTTATTTTGTAACATTCTTTTGCTATCCAAAAATCTGCAGATAGAAAGTCACACTGAGGATGCAGCTGGGAATTTAAAATCATAGAAAACAAAGCTCAAAAGGATATCAAGAAGTCACTCACTTTATTTCCTAACACCAAAGCAGGATCAATATAGCTAAACTGCTAAAGTTTTTTTGGCCTGTTTTTGAAGACCTTCTGTGGTATTGCATAGCAGTCCTGGACAATAAACTAACCAAGTTTGTCCCACTGACTGACTTGAGTCTTCTTGAGCATGACAGGGAGAAGACATATGATTTCAGAAAAGACAACTAAGGATGAGTTTTAGAAAGGTGCTTCTGCTTTCTGATGGCCAGTGTTCTCATAAGGTGCTGACAGAGATAAGGTACAGGTAAATAAACTGTCACATAAGCTAGAACAGATTAAAGTACACCAAGAGCATGGTGTACATGGTACAACAATGTAAAATAATGCAGGGATACTTTTCTGCAAGATAACTTAATTACACCCCCCAGTATAACCCTAGAACAGGACATTATTGAGATTTGAAGTCTGATGTGATTTTGAATGCTATTCATTTGACTCAGAAAGGCAAACATCAATTCAGAACTGCAGCTTTCCTCAGGGGAGTTTGGATCAACAGTATCAAATGGATTATGGTCATTATAACTAAAATTGAATGTAAATTAATGAGGAATCTAAGTATAAAAGCACCTTGCCAACACACACCAACAATATTTATTCTACAGCTTTGATATTCATGAGAATACAGCAGAAATGGTGTATGATTTGGTTATTAAAGAATGCCAAAATAAAACCAAATTAGTGTAAGTGGAATTATGACAGGGAGGAAAAAAATGTGATGTTGATCCAAGTTCAAATGCAAAGCATGAGAGTATGAAACATCCACTTTGGCATGTGGTATTGCAGAGTCCAGGCCCCAGGATACTTTTCAAAACTTGGTAACAATTTCCACTTCTTTGAATATCATTTGCATGTGTCTGTTTAGCTTTTTTGCAATCCCAGTTTGCTCCCAAACCCTGGCATTTCAGGACAAAAAAAAAAAAAAAAAATAAAAAAAATTGGACTCTCCTATTTTAGTTTCCAAGTAAACCTGGTCTTGGGAAAGTATTATAGATCCTAGAAAACAATGTGAGTTGACTTTGGAAAGCTCATTGGATAGTAGTCATGGAAGATGAGAAGTAGAAGGACACTGATAACTGCAGGACCTAATTCACAATAGAGAAATGGCAGAGCTAAGGAGAGAAAAGCTACATGTAAGAACTTTTATTTTTAATTTGTTTTCTAGGAGCTCAACTATAGTCCTCAAAATCCACAAGTATTATCCTTTTTCAGGTAGTCGAAAGATTTTATAAGCAATATTAAAATGAGTCATGCAATGGTCATCAATACATTTTTTACAATTATGCCTAGTTAGCTTTACTGGATTATTGGCATTTTTCCTCAATGTTCAGGATGTCTAAGGGGTTAAATGGTAAACTGTATTGCCCTAAGAGGCTCACCTGTTGAAAGCTCCTTTCAGATAATTTGAGAAACCTTCAGAACATCAAAGAAGACTAACAGTACCTTACATTGCAAACACAAGAATTAAGAGTTAAATTCATAAGGAGCTTTCTTTTCACTATTCCCATGGTCTAACACAAAACTGAGCAGACCATGTTGGGGCATAATTTACTGAACCACATCCCACTTCCATTTTAAATTAATGGCATAAAAGTCACTGATGTAATCAGGCCCAGGGTGGTGCTCAGCATGGAAAACTACCGGGTTAATGAGAGATGGAAGTAAGGAAGAAGTTTTCTAGAAAAAAAAGGATTTTCATATATAGTTTAAGTAGATTTGTTCAATCCACTTAATTTTACACAAAATACAAGATCAACAACGATGACAAAATATCTTCTATTTCTCTATATAAACAACTTAATTTTTTTCTTCAGACAGCAGTTCAATATGAAGCCCAGGGACTTAAAATAGTTTTCCAAATTTTCCATTATTTATAATATTACTGAATTTGTGATTTAAATGATGTCAGGAAAAAATAATAGGATTTATAGATGGAAATATATGCATATATATTTTAAAACAAATTTTCTGTCTATGTCTATGCTAAGAAAATACTTTAAATGACAACAAGCATTTCATCCACCTGCTTTGTTGCTACCTAATTCAGTTATGGCACATGCAGTTGTTGGCACAGATACCAACTGAACACTTCAGTTCCTGTAAAGATTTTTTTTTTTTTCAGTAACTAATAAAAAAATTGGAGACTTTTAGAGACAAGATTGGCCAAATCACAAGGTTAATTATTGTGGCTAAATGGTAATGCTGCATTCAAGTTTCTCTGATACAGAAGACATTTCTTAAATAGCCATGATGGCTTGAGGAATGACAGTGGAGGAGGTAAGGAACAGGTTGTGGAGATTTTTGTTGCTGGGGTGGGTTTTTTTTGGATTTTGGGGGTTTGTTTGAGGGGTTTTGGGTCATTTTTACACGGCACTTCTGTGCTATTAGAATTGTTCTAGATCACATCATTAAATAAAATCAATCACACTGTAAGGAAATTTATGAATACTTTCCTAGGAAATTTGGGTTAAATAACCCATAGATGTGTGGATACAGGAGTACGTATGTGTACTGTATGTATACGTATACAGATGTATGTGTACATACATTTATGTGTACCTGAATATTGGTAGGATACTTGCGTGATAGAGGTGTAAAATAAAACCAATTCTCCCTTTTCACCTTAAAAATGCAGTTACTATGTATTTTAATGTGCATAAATGTAATTATGGTTAGACGGAATTGGGTACTAGCTGGATGCAATCATATCTCTACCTGTCTCTCAAAAACATGTAAGGATCTTCAAAAGCAAAAAAAAACCCTAAAATCTGAAAAGCTGATATATCCCTTTCAAACTGAATTTTAAATCAGGATGGTAATTCTGTATTAAAATTGCTTGTGTTCATTAAAAGAACACCATTGGTTTAAGGATTGAGTAGCCCTACTGAGAAGCCTGGGCAATGATGGAAGTCTTTCCCTGTCACACAGACCTATAAACTGGATCTAGTGTTTAAATAATTACCCTTTTACATCAGGTAACATTGTTCATTAGGTAAAATGTGTATTAATTTTCTTTAATAATGATATAATACATTCTTGTATAAGGAATATTCAATTAATTTAAAAGCATTAAAACACATTAAAAGAAAAAAAGAAGGATTTGTGGATTTTAAGGCCATGATGCAGTTGGAAGCTAAAAGAATCTGATTTTAGGAAAAAAATAAATAAATAGAAGTGGTTTCTTCTATCATAGCCCATGTACTTTCTAAAGTTCCTCTGTGTCATGTATCCTGCTTTAATACAACATGGTTATAAAATTATAACCTACAGTAGGAAAATGCCAGGGCAATACATCTACAACATGATATAATTTATTATTGTGACAAGCATGAGAAAATGCTTTGAATTACCAATTTTAAATATAATATTTTTGTAATACTGTTTACATATTTTACATGAAAAATGTCATGCTGGAAAGTCTTACTGCAGCAGCTTTGAAGGATTTCCATTACACTGGGCACATCTCCATGATAGACTTTTTGATGATAGGATGAGATATAAAATGAAGAGTTAGTTTTGGGGTGAAACATTGTATTAATTCACATTCATGCAACATTTTTTCCCTTTGTGTAAATTTTGAAATGAACTGTTTAACCCTTCATTAAAGTAATGAACAAAGCTGAACTCACTTAAGTTAAACAGAATAATTTGTAGATTTTCAGTCCTCACTAACCCATAGGAAATAAGATTTTTTAGAAGTGAAATTCTGCATTGGGAATGTATTCTGGCCTCTCTGGCATTGAATTATTTTAATATAGTGACCTGATTGGAAAACTAGCAGTGTTGAACTTTGAGTTTGGTCACTGGTGATAGCCACCTATGGTGGGAAGGCCCATGGTTAGGCAGACCTGCGTCTCCCAAGGCTTTCTACTGGGGCCTTGCTACAGGCAGAACACTCAAGGCTCTTGTTCCTCCACTTTGGCAGGAGCCACAGTCCTAGCTTCCCATACAGGGTAATCTGTGCTGGGGCCAGGGTGCTTTGTGAGCTCTGACCTGGATAACCAGCTAGGCTCACCAGAGATGCAACAGATTTCACAGGGCAGCAGAAATCTGGCTTTTGCAGGTGAAGTCTTTTGACACCTTGACATTGAAGGATTTTAATGAATTAAGAACTCCTGATCAGAGCTTGAGTTTCATATCCTGAGCTTTCCCAAAGCCATACCTGAACAAGCATATGCATGATAGTGAGAATTTCATAATTTTAATGAACACTTGATGTTACTAAGGACCACAAGGAGCTCATATTGACACCGTTACTGTATACAACAATACATTCACATTCTATTCACTGCATTGCCCAGATGACATAAAAAGAAGCAATAAAAGCATCAACAATTAATATTGTCCCAGTCCAGGCCTTTTGAAAACCAAGGTCGAAGTCCTCTGGGGCATACCCATCTGTCAAGAGCAGCAGTGGCAGCACAGGGCTGGGGACCAGTACTGGACACAGTAGCCTGAAAAGTGGACAGCACTGCATAGGAAGGAAATGCAGCTGGAGTGGCTGGGGAATACATTGATTCATTGCATCCGGCTGTTCTCTTTCA